CAGGAAGGAACTGTGGATAACAGGGAAATGTTAGCAGAGACAGAGTTCTTATCCGAACAGAACTGTCCTTTCATCTCCACAATGAAACAGCACCAGAGGTGAGCAGTATTGGAAAGACACTCCTGAATTCAAGAAACACTTTCTGAAGCAACTCAATATACAGCAGAGATGGGAAAACGAGGACTCCCCGGAGAATGCTAGACTAACAGATTCAGCCAGCATGGTGGAGGGTCAGGGGGTAACAGTATCTAGATGGCCACAGCTTCTCCCTTTCCAAAGTGTTAAGAATTTTATTTCTTTGCTGCCCAAGTCATAGGTGGGCCTTGAAGTTAAAACTTCAGTTTAACAAGCTAACAGCAATTTAATGTTGTATTACATCTGATTTGCCACCCAACAAGTGGTATTAGAGGCAAGTAGAAAAATAAAACAGAATGTTCCATTAAGAAGTTGTGGAAGAATGGTTTCAGTAGTGTAACTCTCAAAGCTATATAGTTTTACAGGTATCTGCAGAACACTCAGCTGTTTAAGAATCCTATCAAGTCCTTGGAGATAATTAGCCAGCAGCAACTCACTGATGTGTCAACAACCTGTAGTTATTATTTTTAACTTGCATTGCGCAAGTAGAGCTTTAAAGGGTTATCTAGCATGTGCAACCTAGTTAAATTAACCACAACACTATCATTGCTCAAGGCTTTCAAATCAATTCAGGCCAATGATGAAAGGAGGGAGTGGGGAAAGGCCTAGTTGCCATTTTCATCTGCTGGGCTGCCAACAACTCAGTGAAACCCCCATGTATGCTTGGGTTCGACCTCTTCCAACACAACTTTTGGAATTTCTTTTCCTGGGAGGTGTGTTGACCTGGTAGATCTGACAAGAGAACAGACAAGAAAGAAGCTGTCAGTCAGGAAGCCATTTCACCTTTCCAATGTATGGGTAGGAGTCCTCAGAATCAATGCCGCCGTTGTCCTTTATGTACTGGAAAGCCTGGTCCATGAGGCCCCCGTTGCAGCCCTGGTTCCCTTCGGGCCGAGAGCAATCCACAAGGTTCTGTTCACTCAGAGAGACCAGCTTGCCAGTTTTGCGAAAGTGCTGTCCTTCCAGGGCTCCGGTGGTACTGAATGCCCAACAAGAGCCACACTGACCCTGGGGGCAAATGGGGAGAAATGCATTGGTTTAAAGCCAGGAATAAGTTCAGCCCATGCTACTGTAATGCTTCTAGTAAAGCAGCGGGAGAAAATGCTGCTTTGGCAGTGTCACTACTCTTCTCAATTTAGTATTTAATGGATGGGACTGATGGGAGTTGCAGTCCAACAATAGGAGGGAGCCAGGTGGGAGCTAAGGCTGGCCTAGACAGAAAACATACAATCTAGAGGCATTATTCAAGCTCAACACATTCTAGTTGGGCAAAAGACACCCAAGGAAGGTGCAAAGCAGGGCCTGAGGGTCCCCATCCCCTGTGCAAAGGCAACTCAATTTCACTAGCATCAAATAAGAAAAAGGCACTTTGTATTTTTGACCCCATTGCCAAGCATCCCTCAACCAATTCTCAATGGATACTCATTGAGTACGTTTCCGAGCACAATTCAAAGTGTTGGTGCTGACCTTTAAAGCCCTGAACGGCCTCGGCCCAGTATACCTGAAGGAGCGTCTCCACCCCCATCGTTCTGCCCGGACGCTGAGGTCCAGCGCCGAGGGCCTTCTGGCGGTTCCCTCATTGCGAGAAGCCAAGTTACAGGGAACCAGACAGAGGGCCTTCTCGGTAGTGGCACCCTCCCTGTGGAACGCCCTCCCTTCAGATGTGAAGGAAATAAGCAGCTATCTTCTCTTTAAAAGACATCTTAAGGCAGCCCTGTTTAGGGCTGTTTAGGGTATTGTTTTTAACTTTGATTGGAAGCTGCCAAGAGTGGCTGAGGAAACTCAGCCAGATGGGGCAGGGTATAAATAAATTATTATTATTACTATTATTATTAATAATATTAATATTATTGAATGACAGCTCTACACTGGGGACAGAGAAAGTGCTACTGTGGTCAGGCATTTAGCTGGTCACTCTGAGATTGGGATAGTTCCCTAGGAGCTTGATCCAACAGGCTCTTATTGTCCTCGGGTTCTTCAGCTACCTCCCATAACTAAAGTAAGGTAAAGGAGCTATTTTTTTCTTGGCAACGTAGCTATGTTTTGGCTGTTAAGTCCTACAGAAGCTGAAGTACCACTTAGAAATCCAACCACAGACTAAGCTGCTTGTGTTAGGCAAAGGTAAAGAAAAAACCCAGAAGATCAGATACATACTTGATCCTTCACTGGTGTGACATATCCTCTATCTCTCCAATCAACAGATCTTGGCACCTCCAAGAAATTTGGTTCAAGGAACTGTGATCCTGAAAACTTCCTTTCCGTTTTGGAGCGTTTAAATCCATTCATGACTTGCCTAAATTCTTCATTAGTCTGAAGAAAGAGGAAATAAGTCAGCATGCCATCTAAGCAGTTACTCAAGAGATGCTAGCTGTGCAACTTGACATTTACGTACCATGTCTCCAAAATGATTCATTCCCAGTCTGTAGCTGTGCTTGCCCAGGCTGTGGTCCAGGTTGTGCAATTCAATCATCTTCAGGTTCTTCTCCCAGATCATTCTTCTCCAGCCTTCCTCCTTCTAAAAGGGGAAGAAAGCAACAAGGAAAACTGAGCACCCAACATCCTCTAACAGCTAAAGACATAGGCTCAATTCAGACAACAGACCATAGTTTGGGTTCTAAACCATAGTTTGTGACAAACCATGGTTGGAACCTCTGTATATTCCTGCAAACCATGGTTGCTTCCCTGTTTTGGTTTCCCCATCTATTTGGTATAGCTACGGCTCCAACTGCCATAGGCTGCTGCAACTATGGTTTGTAAAGTCACGCACCACACCAAATCATGGTCTCTAGTTCTGGTTTACTGGCTCATTACAAATCATGATTTGTCCATCCAGGCATCATGCCAAGCCAGACTTCTTAAATGTGGCTTGCAATGACATCTGAATCGAGCAATGAAAAGTATGCCTAGCTTTTCTTTGCTGCTCTAAGCAGCTTACCATTGCTATGAAAACCATTTCAAACATTAGCCCTAATATTTGAGTAGTTCATACTTAACATGACTACTCTTGCTAGCTTGGTATTCCCATATAAAAGGAAGCTACATTTTTTTTGTTCCCAAGATGAGACTTATTCAAGCAGCAAAATAATATTGAGAAATTCTTTTTGTATCTGATAATAAAGTATCTAGAGCACTTGAGTCTACCTGTACAAATTGTCTGCTTGCTGTATGCCTCTGAATCACAACTGGGGAGAACAGTACTTCAGATCCTGCTTGCCTGCTTCTCAAAGGAATCTGGTTGGTCACTGAGGGACCAGGATACTGGACTAAAAAGGTGTTCATTATGTTCTTAACTATAATCTGCTATACCAGTAACTCTCAGATTATTGAAGTGTTGTCTGTGTCCCCTAAGGTGGCAATTATACCCAAATACCTAGGCTGGCAGATGGTTTCACCAACAGATACATGAACCATTCATACAACTTTTGCTACCGCATGTTTTCTGAACACCTTTTGCCCATGCACAATGAGAGTTATGTAGTGACACTCACCTCATGGTACTTCTTGTTATGCCACGATTTCCACATGCCCCAGTGATCATCCAAAGCAGGGTCCAGGCCTGGGGCAGCAAAGCACGCCTCCAAACTTAGGGCCAAAACGCACAGATAGAACTTCATGGTGAAACCTCTCTATAGGGAAAGAAAAAGATCTGATTAGACACAAACAGTTTAATCCCCACTGATGAGGCCATGCAAACTATACAGAAATGACATTCACTGAAGTGAGAATACATTACTCGTGTAAAGTTTTGGTATAAATGCACCACAGCAATACCACACAAGGCTTCTAGTATGTATATACAATGTGTTTCAGATCGTGGTTCTGCGGCAAGTGCAAAACGAGCACCAGAAACTAACTAAATGAGATACATGGTTT